GCTTCAGCACACCCTTGACCACCAAATAACAAGCCGTTATATGGACACTTAGATGGTTCTGCTGGGAAACTGCTACATGTACCATGCACAAGGTCTGTTAAGGCCTCATGCAGGTACATGTTATGAAAAATGGGGAGGAGTTGGACGGACAGCAGAAATATTCTTTTTTTTTGTGTTGTCTGAAGTTCCTGTGCCTCGCAGGGGGGAGGGGAAATGGGATGTATCTCAGCATAGAACAAAGACAGCATGGCTCTGTGTGGCTGGGAGACCAGCCCAGACCAGTTTTAGCAGGAAGTTGGGGGAAATGGGATGGATCTCAGCAGCATAGCACAAAGACAGCATGACCTTCTGTGTGGCTGGGAAACCAGTCCCGGTCACTTCTTAGCAGGAAGTTGGGGGGTGGGGACAATTGCAGGGCCATGTGGTCTCTGGTTGAATGGGAGAGCTAGAGAGAGAAGAAGCCAGCCAGTCACTCCTAGCTGAGCCTAACTATAAGATGCAGGGAACTGTGCTTTGCTGTGTGCCTGGGAGTTACCCCTGCCTACTGCTGCTGTGTCTCTGGGAAGTTACTCCTGCCTGTTCAGCGGACCGCTGTTTGTCCCTGGAAAGCTACCCCCTGCCTGCTGATCGCTGCTGTCCATGGAAAGTTGACCGCTGTGAGGGTCCCTCTCTACTGGCTGCTGCCGCCCCTGAAACCATGAGTGTTCCTGCACATTGTCTGCTGGTTGCCCCTGGAAACTACCTACTGTGTGTGCCCAGAAGTACTCTGCCTGTTACCCGCTGTGTGCCAAGGAGTACCGTTACCTGCTGCCTGCTGAGTGCGCCAGAGCTGACTCCTGCCTAAACCGTGAGTGCCTATACCCTCTTGTCTGAACTACCCCCCCGTGACTCTCCCTATTTGCCCTGCCTGGACTGTCTGTGAATCTCCCTATTTCCCTGCCTGGACTGGCCCCATTGAATACCCCTAATTCCCTGTCCAGACGGGCCCATCGAACGCTCATACCTTTTCTGCCTGGATTGAACTTCCCTATTACCCTTGCCGCACTTGCCCGCTTGGATTAATACTTGCTCGGGCCATCGCTACCCAAATCGCCCTATTGTGGGCTGGATTACAATTATTTCGGGCTCCGCCCTCTATTTCCCTTGTTTGGGTACCCGGACGCTACCTACAGACCCCAATTGCGTGACTATCATTTTTCAATAAAGCTCTTGTGTGTTTTGTCATCTGCTCTGTGTGTTCTGTCCCTGCCTACGCTCCGTCACATAAGGTATTGCCAGCTGGGGGGAATCTGGTAGTCACTATGTGAAGCAGTTAGATGGTATAGGAGGCTAGGTGAGGTTGCGGAGCCATGTGGGAAGGAGGGGGGGAGGATAGAGTTAGGAAAAGGTGTCAGGAAAAGGATGTAGGGGGCCATTCTAGGCCTAGAAGCTGGTCCCGGGGACACCCAAAAATAGGGTGGTCCAGGGAACAATAGTAGCCCAAGTGGTATTAAATGAACAATACCACAGGGGGCTAGTGGAGAGTGAACAGGTACGTGGACCGTGGGGATGACAGCATTAAGATGAATATAAGGTAATGAGATCCCGGGAAAAGGCAGGTAAATAGATTCCCAAAGGACTCAAGGGGTCCTAAGTTTGGGCGGCATTGGCTGTGAAGGCAGGCCAGTAAAGATGAGCAGATGTGGTTTCTCATGCCGCCAGAACTGAGGTCCCCGTACATATATTGAAATACAACCAGAATAAAATAATGCCAAAAATAGTATTTAAAGCTCAACAAGCTCTCAAGGATATAGGAGAGACAAAAGGCAAGATAACCTTCGACTTGCGGGAAAAAACAAAAAAGAATTTTCCCAATATATACAGTGGGGATCGAAAGTTTGGGCACCCCAGCTAAAAATTTGTATTAATGTGCATAAAGAAGCCAAGGAAAGATGGAAAAATCTCCAAAAGGCATCAAATTACAGATTAGACATTCTTATAATATGTCAACAAAAGTTAGATTTTATTTCCATCATTTACACTTTCAAAATAACAGAAAACAAAAAAATGGCGTCTGCAAAAGTTTGGGCACCCTGCAGAGTTAATATCTTGTACTGCCCCCTTTGGCAAGTATCACAGCTTGTAAACGCTTTTTGTAGCCAGCCAAGAGTCTTTCAGTTCTTGTTTGAGGTATCTTTGCCCATTCTTCCTTACAAAAGTCTTCCAGTTCTTTGAGATTTCTGGGCTGTCTGTCACGCACTGCTCTTTTAAGGTCTATCCATAGATTTTCAATTATGTTGAGGTCAGGAGATTGTGAAGGCCATGGCAAAACCTTCAGTTTACGCCTCTTGATGTAATCCCCCGTGAATTTCGAGGTGTGTTTAGGATCATTATCCATTTGTAGAAGCCATCCTCTCTTTAACTTCAGCTTTTTCACAGATGGCATCAAGTTACCATCCAAAATTTGCTGAAATTTTATTGAATCCATTTTTCCTTCTACTCGTGAGATGTTCCCTGTGCCACTGGCTGCAACACAACCCCAAAGCATGATTGATCCAACCCCATGCTTAACAGTTGGACAGAGGTTCTTTTCATTAAATTCTTCTGTGCCCCTTCTTCTCCAAACGTACCTTTGCTCATTCTGGCCAAAAAGTTCAATTTTAACCTCATCGGTCCACAGAACTTGTTTCCAAAATGCATCAGGCTTGTCTATATGTTCATTTGCAAAGTTCAAACGATGAATTTTGTGGTGAAGACGTAGAAGAGGTTTTCTTCTGATGACTCTTCCATGAAGACCATATTTGTACAAGTATCTCTTTATAGTGGAATAGTGTACCACAACTCGTGTCTGCCAGATCTTTCTGGAGGGATCGTGCAGTCAAACGTGGGTTTTGAATTGTTTTTCTCACAATCCTGCGAGCTGTTCTGTCTGATATTTTTTCTTGGTCTTCCAGATGTTGCTTTAACTTCCACTGTTCCTGATGACTGCCATTTCTTAATTACATTCCGAACAGAGGATATTGACATCTGAAAATGCTTTGCTATCTTCTTATAGCCTTCTCCAGCTTTGTGAGCGTCAACTATTTTCAGTTTCAGTTTTCTAGACAACTGCTTAGAAGAACCCATGGTGCTGATTGTTGGGGCAAGGTCAGATGAGTCTGGGCATTTAAAACCTTTGAGATTGACATCACCTGGTCTTCCCAGGCGATGATTGAGAACATTCCATGACACTGGCTCAGGTCTCAGCTTGGCAAAGGGGGCAGTGCATGCTATAAATTCTGCAGGGTGCCCAAACTTTTGCAGACGCCATTTTTTTTGTTTTCTGTTATTTTGAAGTGTAAATGATGGAAATAAAATCTAACTTTTTGTTGACATATTATAAGAATGTCTAATCTGTAATTTGATGCCTTTTGGAGATTTTTCCATCTTTCCTTGGCTTCTTTATGCACATTAATACAAATTTTTTAGCTGGGTGCCCAACTTTCGATCCCCACTGTATATAAAAAAAAACAAACAAAGCTAAAACAAAACGAGCCCTGGGGGCTAGCATAAGGATACACAACGCCTGCATCGGAGTGTGAGGCGAGGAGAATAGGCACCATGGGTGTCACCTTCTGCACTGGCAGAATGCAACGCAATCTGGTGTATGTGGTAAGAGAGGAGTTGATTGAAGCGACTCAGTCCATGGTGTCTTGTGAAGACGGAGCTGGTGATGAGAAACGCCCTTGTTTGTGGATGCTGAGTTGACCATCGGCAGAGCGGGGAGGATGGGATTTCTGTGGCGAGTAGGATGCAGATCTCCGCTTGGAGCTTTCTGATGGTGTTGTTGAGGAGTGTAGCTGGAGGTTCCGCAGGGTGTCCAGCAGTTCATCAGGAGTCTTGCAGGTGAAGTCTCGGGTTTGGTATCGGAAATGCACTATGAAGGGGAAGCTCCATCTATACGGTATACCGTGTTGCTGGAGCGATTGCAGATGAGGTTTCAAAGCCCTGCGTTTAGCGATAGTAGTGGGGCAGAGGTCTTAAAACAGTTGGTAGGTGTGACCTTGAAACTTCAGGGATTCCGTATTGCGGGCTGCTTGTAGGAGTTGCTCTTTAGTGCGAAAAAAGTGAAGTTTGGCTATGATATCGCGTGGCGGGCTGTCAGAGCGTCATGGAGCTAGTGCCCTATGAACCCTGTCCATTTCCAGGCATTCAATTGGAATGGCTGGGGCAAGCTCTTGGAATAGCGCTGTGATGGTTGATTGGACATCGATGACCGATTCAGGAAGGCCACGGATTCGTAAATTTGAGCGCCTTGCCCGGTTTTCAAAGTCCTCGAGATGCGCTTGCAGCGTTGCATTTTTGTCACGCAGAAGGTCAAGGTCATCTGCATGTGTCTGAAATGATGCGTCAAGGTCATCTACTCTCTGCGCGTTGTCCTAGTTCGTGAATTTCTCTGGACAGCGTGGCTGTGATGCGGTCAGAGGTTTGTTTCAGGGCTTAATGCAGCAGCCTTTCAAAGCGCATGAGTAGGTCAGGGGGCGTAAGGTCAGGTGTAGAAGCGTGTGTGGGGGTCTCTGGGTCAATGTCAGACTCACCCTCTGATGCGCAGGAATGGCTGGGCTGTGTATCCTGCAGGGCTGCATATTCTTTCGCAGCATGCTTGCTGCAAGGGGATGGAGCGGTGGCCATCTTGGAGGAGGCTTTGACCAGGGCCTCCGTTATGGATTTGCTGGGCGGTGGAGCCTGGTGACAGGGCGCTCCCTTGACCATGCTGAATCGAGTCATGGGGGGTTGCCACAGAGACCGGAGCCGCTTATTTTGCTGTGCGGGCCGGGATCCGCGGGAGGGCAGCTGTCTTACCTGACGGTGATACAGAGCTTTACAGGGACATGTCCGTCCCGCCGGCTGCGCATGCGCACTCCCGAAGTCCTCCCATTCTAACCCCACATGCGTGGCTCCGGGCTCCCTCGGACACAGTGGATCACCGATCAATGGAAAGAGCTGAAGATGTCGGCTCGGTCATGTGATCAGCTGTGTGTAATCACAGCTGATCGCATGTAAATAGGGAAATGCTGGTTCTCGGCATTTCTCTCCTCATGAGCTGTCACGCTGACAGCTCGAGAGGAGAGCCGGTAATTGGCTTTACTCAGAGGGGACATCTACACTGTTCATCAGGGCACTGATGCTTAGTGTGCCCTGATGATCTGTGTAGCCCCAGCAGTGCCACCTGTCAGTGTCCATCAGTGCCAGCTGTCATTGCTCATCCATGCCACCTGCCATTGCTGCATCAATGCCACATTTCAGTGCCTACCAGTGCACATCAATGCTACATATCAGTGCCCATCTGAGCTGCCTTTCGGTGTCACCCATCAGTGCCAGTCAGTGCCACCTATCAATGCCAGTCAGTGCCCCTATCAGTGCTACCAGTCAGTGCCACCTATCAATGCCCAGTCAGTGCCCTATCAGTGCTGCCTAACAGTGCTGTCAGTGCCACCAAACAGTGACAGTCAGTGCCGCCTATCAGTGCCCATCAGTGCTGCCTATCAGTGCTGCCTAACAGTGCCTGTCAGTGCCACCAAACAGTGACAGTCAGTGCCGCCTATCAGTGCCATATATGAGTGCTGCCTTTCAGTGCCCATCAGTGATGCCTGTCAATGCCCATCAGTGCCACCTACCAGTGCCTCCTCATTAGTGCCATCAGTGCCACCTAACAGTGTCCACGAGTGCAGCCTATTAGTGCCCATCACTGCAGACTCATTATCGCACATCAGTGAAGGAGAAAAATCACTTATTTACAAAATTTTATAACAAAAACTAAGCAAAAAAACTTTTTTTTTTTCAAAATTGTCAGTGGTTTTTGGTTTGTTTAAGGAAAAAATAAAAAACCCAAAGGTGATTAAATACCACCAAAATAAAGCTCTGTCACCAAAAAATGATAAAAATTTCATAAGAGTACAGTGTTGCATGACCGCGCAATTGTCATTCAAAGTGCAACAGCGCTGAAAGCTGGAAATTGGCCTGGGCAGGAAGGGGGTAAGTGCCCAGTAGGCTAGTGGTTAAAGGCCTCAGTTTTTCTAGCAGCTATGTATACAGTATAGTATCTATAGTAAATCTCCGCAGCAGAAGCTCATCAGTGCATATTGCAGCTCCTTATCTGACCACACACAGAGCTTACTCCACTCTCTGCTCTGCACCCACATGACTCCAGATCCTTCTCAGGCCATTGTTATGCAGCATGGTGGTGTGCATTGAACAGTGATGTGCACTCTCCACACTTACTCATGGCAAGAGGAAGCTGTGTCCTCTACAGCCTGAGAAAATGCAGTCTTTTCCCCTCCCCCTTGCAGTCTCCCTCTGTGAAATACAGTTCAACGGTCAATAGCAGTCCAGAGTATGGCTCCCTTCCTGAACATAATTTCCCACAATCCACTTCTGCCATCATAGAAGTCTAGCAAGCTCATTGACTTCCTGGCTCCCCCTGCTGGTGGGAGACAGGCAGTGAGATGAATCAGCATATCAGTACAGAGATAGTGTAAAGAACCGCTGCTCAGAATCCAGTAGAAGTATTTAGTGTCTGTACACAAAGGGTTTCTGGTCCTTTTCCAATACAAAGACAGATTTTCAAAAAGGCACACAATGCCTGTGGGACAACGCCACATTGTGAACCACGTCAACCATGTTTCCTACAAAAGCAAAAGCCAAAAATTTTTTTATATTTGAAAATGGTATCTGAGCGTATCTGTAGTAAATCTTATGTCCATATATTCGGTAATTGTGTGCTAACATCATACAGTAAATGTTTCTTGTACTCCAGACACTGGACTAAACTGCACACTGCAATTAAAGACTTGAGCTATAAATATAGAAGCACACATACACAACTCCCACAATGTATTTACTGTGATAAAGCAAATGAATTCACTGAACACATATACAGAAAGATGTTTTAAGAAAAACATAGACTTAACAATATTAATAATGATAATATTTATTCTGTGGATTCAGACATGATGCTCTAACAATTATTAAAACAAAAGCTTGCATGAGCTGTAAATAGAAGAATTCATTGCTGTTCTGTAAGGGCTTTTGTTGAAAATTGTTTCTATATACAGTATCTATCTATCTATCTATCTATCTATCTATCTATCTATCTATCTATCTATCTATCTATCTATCTATCTATCTATCTATCTATCTATCTCTACCACTATTTCACAATAAACGGTTGTATGGTCCAAGTCAGTTAATAGTTTAAACTTCACATCTTTCCCTTGGCACACAATAGATTAATAGACTTTTTGTCAGTCTTTTCAAATACTCAGGAAATGCAATTACAGGCAATGCAGTGAAAAATTAGCGCTTGCTCTTCAATCTTATTAAAGAGACAGGATCCCTATTAACAAAGTAAATGAGTAGGAGAGCAACAAAAGGAAGTGGGCAAGGGCAGAAAGAATCGACTTAACTCTGTATAACTTGGTATATTTTGAAAATGTACCCATGGATTCTAGATGCCATCCTATACTTGGGAGATACAGTGATCAGCCATAGCTTTATGACCACTGACAGTTTAAATGAATAAGATAGATTATCAGTTACAATGGCATCTGAAAGTTGGAGAGATATATTAGGCATCAGGTAAACATGCTGTCCCTAAAGCTGACATGTTGAAAACAGAATAAAATGGGCATTGCAGTTTGTTATGCATGGAGCTCCATAGCCACAAACCAGTCAGCGTGCCCATACTGAGCCGTGTCCAAAGCCAAAAGCACCTACAGTGAGCATGTAAGCATCAAAACTGGACCACAGAGCAATGGAAAAAGGTAGCATAGTCTGATGAAATACCGTATTTTTCGCTCCATAAGACGCACCTGACCATAAGACGCACCTAGGTTTTAGAGGTGAAAAACAAGAAAAAAAAATATTCTGAACCAATGGACTGCAGACATAGTACAGGGGATGACCAGAGACTGCGGACACAGTACAGGAGATGACCAGAGACTGCAGACATAGTACAGGAGATGACCAGAGACTGCGGACAAAGTACAGGGGATGACCAAGAGACTGCGGACATAGTACAGGAGATGACCAGAGACTGCAGAAACAGTACAGGAGATGACCAGAGACTGCGGACACAGTACAGGAGATGACCAGAGACTGCGGACACAGTACAGGAGATGACCAGGGACTGCGGACACAGTGCAGGAGATGACCAGAGACTGCGGACACAGTGCAGGAGATGATCAGAGACCGGACAGTGCAGGGAATGACCAGAGACTGCGGACAGTGCAGGGGATGACCAGAGACTGCGGACAGTGCAGGGAATGACCAGAGACTGCGGACAGTGCAGGGAATGACCAGAGACTGCGGACAGTACAGGGAATGACCAGAGACTGCAGACAGTACAGGGGATGACCAGAGACTGCGGACACAGTACAGGGAATGACCAGAGACTGCGGACAGTACAGGAGATGACCAGAGACTGCGGACAGTACAGGGGATGACCAGAGACTGCGGACAGTGCAGGGAATGACCAGAGACTGCGGACAGTGCAGGGAATGACCAGAGACTGCGGACAGTGCAGGGAATGACCAGAGACTGCGGACAGTGCAGGGAATGACCAGAGACTGCAGACAGTGAAGGGGATGACCAGAGACTGCTGACCTTTGGGGAGGGAGGGGGAGCGGGTACCTGAATTTGACAGGTACCCGCTCCCACTTCCGCGGAGTTGCCTTCCCTCTTCTTCCCGGGCCGGCTTCTGTGACAGCCGGGTGCCCACTGCGCAGGTGCAAGAAGCGCTTTGCTTTGTGAATGGCCCGGCGCCTTCTGTGACCTTTCATGTGTCCCAGAAGACACCGGATCATTCACAAAGCGCAGCACATGCGCAGTGGGCACCCGGCTGTCACAGAAGCCAGCGCGGGAAGACTGTGCAGCGCTGGAGCGAGGAACAGGTAAGGCCCTGCAGGAGAGAACAGCTGAGCGGCCGGCCCGGTATTCTGACATGGTGGCGGCAGAAATACCGGACCGGCCGCTTTACATTCGCTCCATAAGACGCACTGACATTTTCCCCCCTTTTTGGGGGGGAAAAAAGTGCGTCTTATGGTGCGAAAAATACGGTACATTTCCTTTTACATCATGTGGATGGTCGGGTGGGTGTGCGTGGCTTATCTGGGGAAGAGATGGCACCAGGATGCAGTATAGGAAGAAGGCAATTTGGCAGAGGCAGTGTGATAAATTGTTCTGCTGGGAAACCTTGGTCCTGCCATTCATGTAGATGTTACTTGACATGTACCACCTACTTATACATTGTTGTGGACCAAGTACACCCCTTCATGGTAACAGTATTCCCTAAAGGCAGTGGCCTCTTTCAACGGGATAATTTGCCCTACCACAATATAAAAATGTCTCAAAAATGGTTTGAGAAACAAAGAGTTTGAGGTGTTGACGTGGCCTCCAAATTCTCCAGACTTCAATCCTGTCGAGCATCTGTGGGATATACTGCAAAAACAAGTTTGATCCATGGAAGCTCCACCTTGCAACTTACAGGACTTAAATATATGTATATTGGGAGATCTGAACAACATTTGGGATACTCATGGGGCAATAAAAAAACCACATGAGATATGATGAAACTCAGTATTTGGAGGCTGGTAGGACGATAAACCTCTTACTGGATTTTTATAACATAGGGAAGTCAGTAAAGGGAAATACAGATTTTGAGATCCTGTCCTGATATTGCTTTGATTACACCTTATACTGTATGTTACACCTCTTAGCACATTGTATATAGACAAAAGATACTTCCCTGCCAAGGCCCCATTTATATGGACCTTTAAAATTAAATAAAAAAAAAACCCACAAGTGATCTTTTTTTATATTGTTTTTACAAAATGGAAATTGTAATTTTTTATAGGTTGAATGAAAGGTTCAGAGCAGTACTACATTTTTTCACTGACACAGATTCAAACAAGAAAGCTTTTCTTTGAGTCAATTCAAGGTTTTCATGTTTAACTAAAGGGCATGCATAAGCCACCCTGTCTTACTCATGTTCCAAATCACTATTTTTGAAAAGTCTTTGAGGATCTTCAAAATGGTAGCAACTTCTTTCTCACTGAGCTTGAAGCATGGTCTTGTCCACGTATAGTATTTATTGGCGATTTTTTGGTAAAGCTTCCATATGCAACATTTTTAGTGTACCAGTTTAATATTTCAATTATGTATTTTTTCAGTATTAGACATGCTCTTATATATGTGTAACTTGTTTTTCTTTGATGACTGTTATATTAGGGTTTTGTTGTGTTTTATTATTATTATTGAATTGTTTTTTACCATGTTTTTTCCATGTGTATTGTTTCAGTTATATATTTAATGGTGCAATGGCATCTACTAACCATGTAGAATCTGTGACTATTAATTCTGAAAATGAATCCATTGCACCTTATAATTTAATATCTGATAATCCCTTGTCTCTTCATTCTCATTTTATTGCATGTATGCATGTTTGTGAAATGTGCAG